TACATTTTCTGTCAAAAAAAAAAAGAAATCAACATACATTGATCATTCAAAGGTTAGGCATATATGTTTGTCCAGTCGGCACACCATGACATGTACTCCCTCTGTTCCGAATTACTTGTCGCAAGTATGAATGTATCTAGATGTATTTTAGTTCTAGATACATCCATTTATGCGACAAGTAATTTGAAACGGAGAGAGTATGAGCTAATCTCTTTTTACATGAAAATGAAAACGAGCTAAGAATGCGAGAGAATACTTTTGCTTTTGCACTTAGCTTAGATCACGACATGTTTTTCTCAAATACACACGAGTAAAGGAGGGGAAAGACTCCCCAAATCTCCAATCTTACGAAGTATTTACACACGAATTTGAGTTCTTCCCATTTTTCTGTGTCACTAGACGTTGTATGTAGCTCTGCTAGTTGTCTGCCGTTGAGGTTGCTAAGATGAAAACAGTACTTTTGGATTTACCATGAATAAAGTATACTAACAACAGTATCCTCATCCATTACCTGGAAGGTCATCTTTTTGCCACAAGACCTGCATTCCAGTCCAGGTTGTCTTACCAAGGTGAAGATCACAACGATGTTGCCAGAAAGTGCCACAAAACAGCAACACAAAGCATACTAACAAGTAACAACAGTATCCTTGCCATTGCAGCGCCAGCGTTTAGCAACATGTTCATAATCTGTTCTTACCTCGATCTGAACAAAATTCGAAAGTTCAGGCCACCACCACAGGGCAATCAAAGAACAAGTTAGAAATAGAAAGAAAAAAAAAGGCATGTTGATCAACTAGTGATCTGTCTGTTTCTTAGTCACATTGGCCCTAGTGAGAAGCCTACTGCAAGTTTGTGACTAAGAAAGAGGCCACAGAAGCACGTGAACCTGGTGGAAATTCTAGTTTGGCACAAAGCAGGTATGTAAAACTGAGACCCACCTGAAATCTCTTACTGCATGCATAGAGAGATTGTACACCGTAAATCCCAGAATAGTGCATTTTCAAGGCAATAATATCATCTCTATCAGCCAAAGATAGGGAAGAAGAAATTTGCAACAATTCATGCCACAAAACCATCAACGGATCACCAAAATTTCTCCTCGCAGTCAGTTTGAGTTGCACCCAACTCGGACGAAAGGACTCAAGTTTTTGGCACAAGCAGAAATGGAACAAAATCGCATCCACCCTAACCAAACTGTTCAACACAACCAGCAGCAAATGAGGCTCAAGTTCACTTCAAATTCTTCCTGGGCAGGAAACAGTAAACCCAGGTCCTGACGCCATTTAGTTATATCCTTCTAGCACCAACAACTGCGCGTGAAGCTTCATCAGAGGCCGGGCAACCGCCCTATTGCTGCATCATAAGAGACAACAGATTCATCAGATTATATGATAAGTAGGAGAGGAGCACACTTTGCCCCTCGGAATCATCTCATTTCTACTTGTCCAAATCAACCAAGCAATAGCAGGAATAATCCACATCACAACTCGATTCGATCTGGATCTGTTTAAGGTTCTTTTATTTGTATGAAAGAGAGTTCCCTCTCCGATTTCTATTAACAGGAACTAAGGTTCAGCTACAAGCATCCAAAATAAAACTGAAGATGGACCTGTTGGAGGTACACAATAATGAAATCGTCTCTTTCATTTGGGCAGACTCACAGGAAGGTGTCTAGTGCAGACCTGGGATTAGGTATCCTATCAAAAATACCACAAGGAGGTTTGGGTGCCCGAGGCTCACAGCAAAGCTCTGGTCACTGAATTGCTTTGCAAACTGCTTCTGGCAATCTTAGGGCCTAATCGGCAAATCTTTCAACTCATAAGGCCTAATCAGTGCAATATATATACTAGAGCAGCCAACGATGCATAAATCACCAACTATACACTCACCATGGAATTCTTTGGTCAGATCCCTAGTTAATCTGCCTAACCCCAATACCACACAAATACTGTATATTTTTCTCTGATCTGTATCAACACAAATTCATGGTTGCCTACAATCAACCAGGTCGGCAGAACTCCTCGACACCTGAATAGTATAACAGCACAAAGGATTCGTTCCCACATCTCTAAAAACCAACCAGAAACTGGAGAAACTAGCAGATATGCATACAGATATATATCTAGTTATGCAGAAAAAACAGAACGAAAGAAAAACTGTACATACTCATCGACATTCAGCAATCCCATACCACATCGGGAACTCTCCAACTAAAATTATCCAACAATCTAAGCTACAAAAGCATCAAGCACTATAATAGTAGCCAATGATGTTATTAGTGTTCATGACTAAATGTACATGTTTGACAAACAGTACAAGGCTAGTATGTACCTCTAGTACAGAAGCTCCTGTACGCCGGCTAACTGCGCGTGCGAGGTCGGCCAAACCCCCTATTGCTGCATCATAAGAGACAAAGATTCATCAGACTATATGATAAGTAGGAGAGGAGCACACTTTGCCCCTTAGAATCATTTCATTTCTACTTGTCCAAATCAACCAACCAATAGCAGGAAGCATCCACATCACAACACGATTCGATCTGGATCTGTTTGAGGTTCTTTTATTTTATTTGTAATATGAAAGAGAGTTTTCTCTCCCATTTCTATTGGCAGAAACTAAGGTTCAGCTACAAGCATCCAAAATAAAACTGAAGATGGACCTGTTGGACGTACAAAATAAATAAATCGCCTATTTCATTTGGGCAGACTCATAGGAAAGTGCCTAGTGCAGACCTGGGATTACGTTATCCTATAAAAAACACCACAGGGAGCTTTGGATGCCCGAAGTCACTTGGCTCACAGCAAAGTTCCGATCACTTAAGTGCTTTGCAAACTGCTTTTGGCAATCTTAGGGCCTGATCGGCAAATCTTTCAACTCATAAGGCCTAATCAGTGCAACATATATACTGGAGCAGCCAACGAACGATGCATAAATCACCAACTATACACTCACCATGGAATTCTTTGGTCAACTCCCTAGTTAATCTGCCTAACACCAATACCACACAACTACTGTATCTTTTTCTCTGGCCTGTATCAACACAAATTCATGGTTGCCTACAATCACCCAGGTTTGCAGCACGCCTCAATGCCTGAATAGTATAACAGCACAAAGGATGGATTCCTACATTTCTACAAATCACCAAGAAACTGGAAAAAACGAGCAGACCTGCATACAGATATCTATCTAGTTATGTACAAAAAACAGAAAGAAAGAAAAACTGTACATACTCATCGACATTCAGGAATCATATAGCGCATCGGGAACCCCCGAACTAAAATTATCCAACAAGCTAAGCTACAAGCAAAACCATCAACCACTATAATAGTAGCCAATGATGTGATCAGTATTCATGACTAAATGTACATGTTGGAAAAACAGTACAAGGCTAGTAATATGTACCTCTAGTGCAGAAGCTCCTGTAGGGTATGATCTTATCGAAGAACTCTTTGCGAACCCTGTTGCCTTCGCCTGAATTGAGCTCAATTGCGTACAGCCCCACCCTTGTACTCAGGAAGATGACACCAACACCTTCAGCAAAGCCAACCAGCGTATTTGCCCTGTCTGTGAGGCAACGAGCAGGGAGCGATGGTTTGAGCTCGATAGCCCAGCGTCGCGCCCACCCCGCAGCTCCGCCGGGACCAGCCTCCATAGTCCATAGGCAGAGTTTAGCCTTCAGCACGGATGCAAACAGCAGACTGCCGTCGTCCACCCCCATGAGGTCAATGCTCTCGTCGATCCCCTCCTGGTCCTCAAATGGCAGGGTGATCAGAGATAGTTTTTGCTCATGCATGTTGTACTCCACGACTTTGTCACTCTCTATACATTGGACATAGACCTTATTTCCCACAACAGCACTGTTCCCCCTGCCATTGACGAAATCCAGGTTGTGAACAGAGATGGTGTCCCTCCACTCACGAGTCTCTGACGAGTAGACGGTGGCGTGGGATCTCAAGTTTCTATAGTCGGTGCCCACCAAGGCCACGCGGAAAGGGCCGCCATCGCCATGGCAGTCGAGCGGGTCACATTGGGCCTTGGCGCAGAGCACCGTGGCACTACAGCGTATGCGCTTGTCCATGTGATCGCCGTGCGGCCACCACATGACGTTGTAGCACTCGGGGTCGCCGAATTCCCACCGCTGGCCGGTGACGAGGTCGCAGACAACGAAGCCCTTGTTCCTCTTGCTCTTGGGGGCGTGGAAGAGGGCGAGGCCGTGGCGGGAGTCGAGGACGTCCCAGCGCGAGAGGAGGTCCTGGTGCGCCGGCGGGCGGAAGCGGAAGGCCGCGGTGGATACGAAGTGGGAGGAGTCGAAGCGATCCTCCGGTTCGCTGGTGGTGTTGTGGAGGAAGCCCAGCACCGGCGCCGCACGGGCCTTGCGGTACTCGCGGGCGAAGTCGGGGGCGGACAGCATGCTGCGCCAGGTCTTGCAGCCGGCGGCGACGCGGACGAGGGTCATGGGGTCGTCCACGGGTACGCGCAGGAAGATCTCGCGCACGAGGTCGTCCATCAGCGTCGGCGGCGAGCGGGGGCGGCGTCGTCGCGGCGCACGCGACCCGGTCGCCATGGGGATGGGGATGGGGATGGAGATGGGGATTGGGGTTTTGGTGGAGGGATTTGGTTTTGGGGGCGCATTCGGCGGTGGATGCCGCCGCCGTGTGCAGTTTCCCCCCTTTTCTTCTTCCCCTTCGTTTTCGTTTGGGCGAGAGAGAGAGAGAGGACGATGCCTTCCCTTGATGGACTCGTGTGGCTGATCGGAATGGGCTGGGCTGGGCTGGGCTGTTGCATCTTGCGAATGGGGTCCAAGAAATGGTTTTCTAGTAAAAAAACAAACCCAAAATCTAAAAAGTGGCCGTGCGCTTTTTGGTGTTTCCGAGCGGCCGCGTCTGTCACACACATGCATGTGTATTTTTTTGTCTCGTAGCGCATGTGGGTGCTGGCATTAAATGTGTTCATACTAGTCTCATCAGTTAGAGAAAACAGATCCACGTACTTTTATTTCGGGATTTCAAATTCTTTTAAAGCCATATCTTTTAAATCAGACGTCAAAATTCAGTTCCGTTTTCATCGTTGGATTCATCGCGACGAGATCTCTAAAACTAGATCCCGCATGGATATGTTTCGACGAAATTTTTTTGATGCCAATTTTGGTGTTATATGGTGTAACTAAAGTACTGCATTGTGCAACTTTAGTACTATATGGTACAATTTTTTTTAAAATCAGTTGGCTTGTAATTTAGTCTAGTTTGTACACACATTAATGTTTAGTTAGCTTATAATGTAGACTAGTTGCACACACATTGATGTTTAGTTGCTAGAGGAACTAGTTGCACATGCATATGCTCAGTTGGCTTGTAATTTAGTCTAGTTGCACACATATTGATGTTTAGTTGGCAGGACACTAGTTGCACACATATATGCGCAATTGATGTGGCAATGTAGTCTAATTGCACACACATTGATATTTAGTTGACAGGACTAGTTACACACATATATGCTCAGTTGGCGCGACAATATAGTCTAGTTGCACACAGAGTGATATTTAGTTGGCAAGACTATTGGCACACACATATGCTCAGTTGGCGTGGAAATATAGTCTAGTTGTACACACATTGATGTTTAGTTGACAGAAGGACTATTGGCATACACATATGCTCAGTTGGCGCAGCATGTAGTCTAGTTGCACATATATTAATATTTAGTTGGCAGGAAGACTAGTTCATCAAAACATCCCATGCAGGATCTACTTTTGAAGAGCACGCCGCGAGGGTTTCAACGGTGAAAACGGATCTGAATTTTGACACGCGGTTTAGAAGATATGTCTTTTATAATTTTGAAAACCAAAAATTAATGCACAAGAGACGAACGTGAGGAACATTAATGCATTGGCATGCAAACACTAGACGCATGCATGCAACGGCTGCCCAAACGGTGGGACGGGTGGCTATTTCTTTTGTTTTCTTTTTCTGACAATAAAAGGGACAAATACTTACCTTATTTGACCGGGCCGCTGGATCGCTTTACTGGGCAGCCGGCCGCCCAGTAGATGCGCCCAAAAACAAAACAAAGATCCTCTTACTGCTGAACTTGGAAGCAAACCTGGGATGTTTTTCGTATAACCGGGTGTATTGGTTCAGTTTAATCAAGTGGGCTTCTTTGGTTTGGTCGCTAATGGATTGTACTCCCTCCGTCCCAAAATTCTTGTCTTACATTTGTCTAGATACGGATGTATCTAATACTAAAACGTGACTTGATGCATCCGTATCTAAACAATTTTAAGACAAGAATTTTAGGACGGAGGGAGTATCTGCTAACAGTTTGGTTGGGTTCAGTTTCGTGTGAATAATAGGTTGGTGTGGTCAGGTATGGGCTTGAACCGTTCTATTTCCAACCAGGCTCAACCCGTGGTTCCAAAACGGTTCCTGAGATTGGTTCGGACTTCGTAGGTCTGCTCGATAACTCGCTCTTTCCATGTTCTTGTAGCCGCCGCCACCACCTCTCCCCGTCCCGGCGTCCCCGCCCACGCGACGCTGAGCCGCAGTGCCGCATCAAAGGAGAGTCGTCCAACGCCGCCGCCGGCGTCGACACCCTCGTGGGAGCAGCTGAAGATCATGCTCAGCTCGGGACTCAGAGGCGCGACAGCGGCCGCGCGCATGCATGACCCACCGCACTGACAAGAACGGGCGGCGCCGGTGCCTGAGGTGCATCGCTCTGCTCGACCACTGCCCCACTCAACCTCTCCTTTACAAGCTGTTCACAAAGACAGAGAGATGGGAGCAGCACCAGGCCATTTGCCATGAACGTAGGAGACAACATGGTATGGAACTGTTATTTACCCATTGGCTAAAACCATGGTTTCAACCATCGGCTCAGTTTAGTTTAGGTGGAGTGAGGACGTGGTTCAGTTTGGTTAGGGTTTAAATAAAAATTAAAGAGGTTTAGTTAGGTTCGTTTTGCCCAAATTGATCATGCGGGTTTGGTTGAGGTTTAGTTCAGTTCCCCAACCGTTCTCAGATTTATTTGGAAGTAATCCATCTCAGATTTGGAGAGCTATAATGGAAGGTAAAGAGATTCTTACTCATGGGCTTATAAGGAGAATTAGTGACGGTACCTCGACCAACATATGGCAGCAACATTGGTTACCCAAGAAACATTCCATGCCTCCGCTGGCCTGTTTATCACCGAATATACCACAAATGGTCTCTGAACTCATGCTACCTAACATGGCCACATGGAACCGAGAGCTGATCAATCGTGTTTTCCTCCCTGCTGATGCGGAGCTAATTCTGAATATACCAATTAGTACAAGGCAGTGTGAGGATTTTTGGGCCTGGGCACATGATAAAAAAGGTGAATTTTCGGTGCGGTCTGCCTATAAAATGCTAGTGGCAACGAAGATTCGACATGAAGCATGGTTAGAAGGCAAATCGAGTTCTTCTGAAAATGCAAAGGAATGCACCAGCTGGTCAAAGTTGTGGAAAACAGATGTCCCATCCAAGGTGAGGGTGTTTTTGTGGAGACTTGCCCACTGCTCACTACCTACTGCCGATGTGAGACAGCACCGAAGCATGGCTACTTCTTCTATTTGTGCACTATGCGATGCAGATGACTCGTGGATGCACTCACTCCTCCTCTGCTCGACGGTGCGGTGTGTGTGGGCATTATCTGAACCAGAGCTAGTTGAACATATATTGACCACCGAAGAAGCAAACCCAAAAAACTGGATTTTCACAATGTTGGAATCAGTATCGCATCTGGAGTTCACAAAAATGGTGGTAACATTATGGGCGATTTCGTCGGCGCGATGGAAACTTATCCATGAAGGCGAACATCAAAGCCCAATGTCGACACACATATTTGTAAATTCCTACCTGGATGATCTACAGCTCGCAATCCCAAAGCAGAGAACTAGAGCACCAGCGCATGTAACTGCTGCAACTAGAAGATGGGTTCCACTACCAGCCAGTTTTCACAAGCTTAATGTTGATGCGGCCGTTGACAAGAATGGGCAGAAGGGATCTATTTCTGTAGTATGTCGCAATGAGGAGGGATTATATGCTGGCTCATCCACACTGGTGTACCAGGGACTGACGGACCCTATGATCCTCGAGGCCCTTGTATGTAGAAAGGCGCTCGCTTTGGCAAAAGATCTTATGCTGCAGCAGCTAACGGTAGTGTCTGATTGCAAATCAGTGGTGATGGACATACATACTTGCACTATGGGAGCGATTGCATCAATTGTCCATGAGATAGTAGATACCTCTAAGGATTTTCTTACTTGTAATTTTGTGTTTGAAAGCAGGCTCTCCAATATGGAAGCACATAGACTAGCTAGACATGCTTTACATCTAGAGGAGGGGCGCCATGTGTGGCTGATGAACCCCCACGATCCCTCTATAATTCCTGTTCTCCGAACTCTTGATCAATAAAGTGAAGCATGTTAACCCTAAAAAATACTAAAAAAACAAAACTGATTCTAAAAAAACTAAAAAACCAAAACTATAAATGGTAAGAAATGAAGATAATTCTTGGATTTTACTAAAATTTATTCCACTCAAGAAAAATACTAAATTCTTGTGGAACATACTCATACTCATGTGTGCGAATGTGAATGCAAGAAGTTGGTGACTTAGAAATAATTGCCTAGTTAATACCCGAAGTCGTCAAATCAATATTTGTTTTTTATCACTTTTGTCATTCAAGATTTGTTTTTGATTCTTTTGCACTTAAGTGGATCCTAGAACTTCATGGGGATAGTTTTCGGTCCTAAATTAAGGAAAAAATAGCCATTTCTTAGTTTGAAGCAAATAACAAAACTATCACAACAGTTTAGTATGGAAAGCATCAGGGCAACTCAAACGCCCCCTCCTACTTCTCCATATATCTAGAAAAAAGGCAATCAAACAGGCTCCTTTGTTCCTGCACAATCATGTTCTTGCACAATCCCATATCCCATACTCCAGTGTCTATGGAGGGGAGGAATGGGGGGGGGGGTTGAAATGTTTGCCACGTTAGCTCGACGGCCCGTACACATCCACAAATTCGTTTTATCGAGACTCCACTCTCTCTCTCTCTATACACATTCTTCCACTCTCGGTCTCCCATCCTTCCCGCCTCCTATCCACAAATATACATGTCATCTATTGACGCTAGAGTTCTTGATCACACTTCCACACACGGTTGAGCTAATTAGCAGAGGTGAAGAAGACGAAATCACTTTTCATCTCGTGAACCAGAGCTTCAATGTGTTCCTTACGAAGTGGTGCAATCGCTTTGGATTCCCCAATGACGATGATCACTTCCGCTACACCTACGGCATGCTCGAATCACATTCGGTACAATTATTTAAAGAAATGTCATATCAAAGCAATAAGCATAGGGCTAGTTGCATTGAGTGTCATGCTATATGATATTTCTATCATATCGCTAACACATTGTAGGCACGTGGAGAAGTTCCAAAAGTTAAGGAAGAGAACATGCTCATTCTTGGAAAGGACGCAATGGACAACATTGATTACACGCCAAACTTGGGCGCAATTCCTTTAGTTCACATAGGGCACCAAGCAA